ATGACTGCGAACAGTGAGCAAGACTTGTTGTTTCCACAAAAGAAATTTGTTTCATCGAGTACCACATTGATTTTCTTGTTAGTAAACATTGAATCACAGTTTCTAGTAGAAAAAGAACAAGAAAACGATTAAGGATATGGTAATCAACCACGAACACCATACCAGGCGACTAAGCAACTGCCTTCTAAGCTTAATCAACACACCTTGAGTTGCGCAGCAAGAAACTCATGGCTCCAGGAGCTTATGGCGATTGATACCATATGAGAAAGCATCTACAATAACAAAGAACTGAACCAGAATATGTGTTCTTTATTGAGCTATAATACTTTATTTATACAAGAGTTTACAACAAACTTATGTAACCGTGTAACTGCACAACAACTAATATAACAACTTCCTACTACACAACTAACCACACTCATCAACTACTAACTCCATCATTCAACAAAAAGAACTTGTTGTCTTTTCCCACATTCTTCTCTATTTGTTGACATTTGGATAGCAAGTATCCCAACAGGTACCAGAAACCCCATTGATGCCCAAAGGATGATTCCATGTACTGCAATCTCAAACATCACTTTACGACTCACCTGTGTAAACAGCACAACCAGATAAAAAAATAAAGCACCAGACATGGTGATTTCAAAGAGGATTAAACTCCATTAATCGAAAGCCTCTAAGTTAAGAGCATGAATATACAGTACCACCTTAAGAATGTTTTCTTCATTGTTTCTAGGGCTGCCAATGGATTCACATGTTGTTGAGATGAGCTGACAAATAGTACAACGTTTATGATTATAAGAGCTATAGGCATGGTGGAAAAAAATAGTTTCCCGGCCACAACATGCATTGTTTTTTTCAACTAGTGAATGGTGAAGGACAAAGAACAAAGAGTGGAGAAACTCTCTCTTAAGCTGGCATTGAATCTCTGAATTTTAAGTTTGTGAGCGGACAAATAGAGCGCAGGACACGGGTGAAAAGTGTTGTCGATGTTGTTATGATAAGCTGACTTCAAAAAGAAAAGGTGGGGAATGGGAATAGATTACAACTTCGAAATTCCACCATGTGGGGATTCACTTACCATGAATGATTACACAGACTGCAAAGTCGAGAAGATAACCATTGTGTCAAATCACGTGGGTTAAGGTTACTCTTTGTTCATTATTTGTTGTTACCATAAATTCAAGGGAGCTGTTAGAAGATATGTGCATCATGAAATAAGGAAAACTGATAAGGTTTGGATGGTTGCTCACAAATTCCAAAAGCAAAGAGTAAATTAGGTTTCGCATATGGTTACAGATTCATCATTAACTTGATAGTTTTTGCATAATGAAACCTTTTGAATTTGAGTAACTACTGGTTTGTTATAGATTGTGGCCCTCTTCATTCATTAGTATTTGGACATATATTGTTGGTTGTTTAGTTGTATTTATTGCACAATATCTTCTCATTCTTATAAAGTAGTAAGCTGTAATTGTACAAATATAAAATACTTAGATATAACACTAAAAAAATATGTACAAATACATGGATTGTTAGATCATACAATGATTTCTTAACCTTTTCCAGGATTATCATTGAAGCATAATCAAGATCATTATCGTTTCTTTCATTTGATTGGAAGTCTGTAGCTACATCATTGTTTTCTAAAAAAGAATTTGTTGATTTAATCAATTGAATCATCATAGTTTACAAGTAATAAAAGAAAATTAATACTATCCCGACAAATGAGTTGATGGATTGTCTTGTTAGATTCATTACCGAGTTGTATTAATTAGAGATTTAAAAGGTGGTTTAGTCCCTTCAATTATATATCAAATTACACCTGGTTAAGTTCATAAAAAAGACGTGAATAAAAGATCAAGGATATTCATTACAATAAGACGTTGATAGTAAAGAATAGATGTTCATGAATAAATTTAATATATATAGAAAGGAACACAAAGGAATAAAAGATATTTCTTTTATAAATGGTGAATTAATGCATATAGAAACAGTATCTTGAACCAGAAGTAATTTAGAATCAATATTACACGAGAAAAGTTTTAAACCCAACAATCTGGTTTAGAAGTTATGACCAAATCGTAAAGATTATATTGATCACCGAAATAACCTGTAAAAATAAATTAAGTGTTTGAATTGTTTAAGATTTAAATAAACATATAATATAAATTGAATACATATCATAATTAATTATATTTTAGAAAGTTCACAACTTCATACTTTAATTAATAATGAGACTACACCTTCGATTATCAAATCAATTTTACATATGAATAATCTGAAAGAAAAGGATAGAACAAGAACTTACCTTCTTAGACTCCACAATAATGAGACTACACCTTCAACCACTACAAGAAATTTCTACTATTGTAATAAATTTAATTTTCTCAAAATTAATTTTGTCACTATTAGTAGCTTTTTGGTGACAAAATAAATAATTGTTACATTAGATTAAAAAAAGATATAAAATTACGACAAAATCTAAAATCGTCATAATAATTTGTCACAATTAACAAGCATGTGTAACATCTTTTGACAAAATAAATTTTATTACTAATTTTTGTCACAAATATTTTCCTCCAATTTTTTGGCGGTAAATTGAAGGCATATAGTGACAACTTTTGTAACTAAAAGTTTTAGTAACTATGACAAAAAAAATTGTCACAACAAATAATGAGATTTAGATTTGTTGTGACAAATTTTGTTTGTAATTATATATTTTAATTATAGTGACAAAATGTATAGTCACAAATGATTATCTCTAATTTTTGGTACAAAAATAAAATCAAATAGTTACATGTTTTGTAACTATAAAATATAATTATTGTTACAAAAAAAATTGTCACAACAAATAATGAGATTTAAGTTTTTAGTAAAAAAATAATGTTTGTCGTTATATGTTTTAATTATAGTGACAAATATATTTTCACAAAGATTTTCCTCCATATTTTTTTGAGCCAAAAAAGTCATATAGTAACAAATTTTGTAACTATAAGTGTTAATAATTATTACAAAAAACATTGTCACAAAAAATAATGATATTCACATTTTTGTGACAAAATATATTTGTAGTTATAAATTTTAACTATAGCATATATTAATTGTCATAAATATTTTTCTCCACTTTTTTGTTTCAAAAGTTATATTGAAAATTTTTATAATTATAATTTATAGTTATTGTTATAGAAAAAAATTATCACATCAAATAATAAAATTCAATTTTTTTAATAATTTTTTTGTACTTATATATTTTAATCATTATGAAAAATTATACTATCATAACCATTTCTCCCTATTTTTTAGTGTCAAAAATGTTATATAGTAACAAAATATATTATAATTAATAAAATTTAAGTTTTTTGTAATTAATTATTTTTGTAGTTATATATTTTAATCATTATGAAAACTTATACTATTAGAAATATTTCTCCCTATGTTTTGGTGCAAAAATGTTATATAGTGACAAGTTTTGTAACTATATGTAATAATTATTGTTATAGAAAAATTATCACAATAATTTTTTTTTAATTAATAAAATATTCAAGTTTTTTTATAAAAAAAATTATTTTACAGTTATATATTTAATTATAATGAAAATATAATTATTATTATAAAAAATAAAATGTTCAAAAAATTAATTTTTACTGATAATATATATATATAATTAAATGGCATTTTCAAATAAAATATAATAACAAAATATATTATCAAAAAGTTCATGGGCTTGTTTATTTATTAAAAAATCATTATTCTAAATTTAAAATCTCAAACACACAAAAAATAAAATATAAAAATAGTAAAAATGAAAATTAAATTACTAAAAAATTGAAATATAAATATATTGAGTTGGGAATGAACAAGCTAAGTTAAGCCCTTAGGTAAGGTGGTCCGTGTAAGTCTTGAACAATATATATTAACCATAGTTGGGCAAAGTTCCTATTAAAATTTTTACATTAAGTTTAGGTAAAGTTTACTTCCGTTTATCATGTTATATTCACTACAATACTCTTCTTAGTTGTATAATTATTTTTAATATTTTTTATTATATAGTTTCATAATGGTTAACAATAGAAGTTCTTGGTTAAAGGGTCATGTTAATTGTTTTTTTCCCTAAGCTTGAGGGTCGCATTGAATGCAACAGTAATTTGATGGCCAAATTGATTTTTTTCAAAAAATGTACAAGAGCCTTAGGTATCTTTTTTCTGAAAATTTATATAAATGAAATAAATATTAATCGTGTATCGATGACCCGAAAATACGGGTACCTAGGTTTTATTTAGGAGGGAAGTTTCCCTCTATTTTATTTTAAAGGAAATTGATTTTTAAAGGGAAACTAGTTTTTAGAGAAATTTATTTGTATTTATTTCATATATACTTTTTTTAAACCCTCAGTTTAATTGTATCAGACCATTATTCCAACTTTATATTTCTTCTTTCATCGTGAAGTCAAAAAATAAAACAACGAGTTTTTCTTTGATATTATGTCTAATTACTATAGTAGGGATTTGTTTAAAAGAAATCTAAACCTAAGGATGTGATCTAAAATTAAGATTCTATGAGTACATTGAAAGGAATATAAATTATCCAACAAAATTAAATGCAAATAAAAAGAACAAAGGGATTAAAATGTAATAAAATAAAAAGGCAATAGTTAATTAAAAACAAAACATAATAGCATAAAATGATGACTAAATTGTACTAAAACAAAAAAGTGAGCCACGATCAGAAATAGTAAAGAAACATTCAGTGACTAAATTGGAAGAACAGAAAACAAGAAACCACATATGAAAATAAGAAATAATACAAGGACCCGTTTCCTAATTAGACCAAAACTTTTAGGAGAACACAAAAACCCTAACCTTTCACGCGTGTTGTTTTCACTTGGTCATTTATTTTCTTTGTGCACCGCATCCCTCCCCTCCCCTCTTTCTTTTCTTTTTTTACCATTTGCCAACCCTAACCTTAAAAAGATTAGAACATCACTTGTAATTGGTAGAATGCAGCGAGCGGTTCAACCTTTTTCGGTGCATGGAAACACCGTAAAAAATGCGGTATTGCATTGCATTCGGGTTGTCAATCCGGTTATGCGACCCGTTATGTTTTCCAGATGTTTTGAAAGCCTAAAAACTGCAACAAGAACACATTGCTATTAGTTTTATCTCAGAAATCGGTAATCAACAATGTGTTTAAAGATATATCTTGAAAAACATACTTGTGATTTGGCAACGTCTGCAGCTTCGGCTCGAACCTTCAGTTCTTGCATTTCATGGAAATCGTCTTCAACTTTAACAATGTGTATAGCTGAACCATATAGGATATATCCAACTAATAAGCAGATCACAAAGAATAAGAATGCAGTGGTCAGCGCTGTCCATGAAGTCGGTGCCTTCTGATGATATCTGCTCGAAAAAGCCAACGACTAAGAACTTATAAAATCAACAGCTTCTTGAACCGATCTCCGAAATCGAGCTTGCTTTCATACAACAGAGCCAAGTAACCACCTTGATCTTGGTGACCATAAATGATCAGGTGATCAGAAGAGTTAGTAATGTCATATACATGCAGTAGAATTGCTTGATTTCCAGCAAATTGCCCGAGAAGATATTCTCCGCAAGAGACTCCACATCAAAGGCTCCACCAAGGTATCTGTTTTAGAACTTATTTTTTATGCGTAAGGAAATCAAAATTTGCTAATAAAGAAATGAACTAACAGAAGCCATTAGCCCCATTTTTTAGTGCATAAGGTATATATGTTCACCAAGACTATACTTTCGGATTTACTTATCTACCTTCAAATTACTAGCATCATTGGCATTGATCACATTAACAAAAGTCTAAACCTTTTTTCCCATTCGAAGTGTCCATTCTAATACAACTGCATTAGACGTTTTGAAAGCCCAAGGTAAAGCTGCAGATGGCTTCTGGCTTTGGTCCACTACAGATGACACTGTTTATGATGCCGTGAAGTCGGTATGCATCTTTACAATTTTCGTAGATTCTCGGCTTCTTCATAGAATACTTGATTTACATGCTTATTGAGTTCAAGCTTTTTCAGATTACTCAACACAATGTTGGTTCCCTGATGATGGTAAAACCTGGAGAGCATAAATCAATTGCCGGTATCATCACAGAGCGAGGTAGTTAACTAGTACACCTTGATAAAATCAATTTGGAACCAAAATTTTAAATTTTAAACGAATGATGGATTTAGTATACTTATGCTAGGACTTTTGTGTTATTTGTCGCTTATTTGTTGATCTCAATCAAGCAAAACTAAGTTCTGTAAGATTGAAGTAGATTTTAGAACCTATAAGCTAAAGCATGTTGATAGTTAGGTTGTTCCACCCAATGTCACCCTTCACCTTTGCCATTGAATGTAGTTATAAACTTTGGTGCAGATTTTTCTTCTTGCTGTTTCATGTCAAACAATCACATACTGCCCTTTTCTTGAGCATTGCATATACCAAATGTAGGGTGCCCATCAAATTCTTTCTGCTCTGCTAAGATTATAGTTTGCTTTATTTTGCGTTTCTTAAATATCAAAGAAGAGATTTTGAAGGATTTTGTGGTGCGACACAGTTTTGATTCTTGGTTTATTTCTGCTGTTTGATGTTATACTTGCAGATTATCTTATGAAGATAATAGTACATGGAAGATCATCCAAGTCAACTAAAGTTGGGGACATCATGACTGAAGAGGTATTGGGTTTTTCAAGTACATTCATAGGTTTACTTCCATCATATATGGCTATTTGTATTCCTTTCTTTTTTTAATCAAGGGAGAGCCTACCCCTTACTATTACAAAAAAATCAAATAATGAAATGAAAAATCTTTTTTTTTTCTTCCTTTGACTTGCTTCTCTTTGTTCTGCTCTTTTCTAGTTTGCTTGTGAGAAACTTGCTGACAATTACGTCGAGAGCATGGTCACCAGCAGCAAAGGGCATGGACACCAGCATTGGATGCACATATTGTTAAAGCAGATAAGGACTATTGTTGCATGCGTGGCAAGGAGAGGAAGATTGTTGGTGTGCTTTTTGGTTGTTGGGGTTACTCATGAGTCATTGTTGGGACTATTACTAGGCATTAAATGTCCCAAATTTGTATTTGATTTCTTTCTTTTTTTAATGCATATATGGATAAAAATGGTGATTTTAGTCACAATAACATATTAAATTTAATAAAAAATATATTAAATTTAATCAAAACAAAAATTTATGTTAAATTTATTTTGTCATAATATTTTTCTCAAAATAACAATTATGTTATTTTTTGACAAATTTGTTTAGTCATGATAACAATTTATAACAAATATTAATTTCTCAATATAAAAAAATTATGACAAATAACATTCTTTCACCATCACTATAATAAATTGTAACAAATTTATTTAGTTACAATAACATGGTAAATTTAGTCAAAATAAAAAGTTATGTCAAATTTATTTTGTCACAATATTTTGTTAAAATAAAAAATTGTGACAACTTTATTTAATCAAAATAACAATTTATAATAAATATTAATTTCTCAATATAAAAAATTGTGACGAAGTAATATTCTTTCACAATAACAAATTATTTTTTATTTGATTTCATAATTTAAGTTAATTGTGACAAAATTTACTTTTTGTGATAAAATAAATATTTTATTTTAACAAATATTTTATCTCTGTATTTTATATTTATTGACGAAATAACAACCGTAACAAAATACAGAACATGCTTGCATAACATATAACAAAATACAGAATATGCTTACAGGCAAAAATCATATAGTATAACAATACATACATAAGGTGTCACGCATTCAAGGTGGTCCAATAACAAATAAATCATATAATAATTAATAATATTATTCGAGAATATTTTTATCTAATAAACATAAAAAATTATGATAATAATAAAAATAATACATCCATACAATAGCCTACGCCACTATTACTAATATATACACTTTTAATATCATAATAAATTAAGGAACGAATGCTAAAATGAATAAATAAATACTAACACTTGTATGATTCTTGTGTAGAATTTAGATTATTTCTCAACTCTAGAATCTACCAACTCTTTAATTTTAGAAATGAGTCCAACTCCAATTCAGAGAGAATATTTGTATTTTACCCAACGGCTCTCTTCTTTTTATAAACGTCGTAATATTTCAAATTTAAACCACCAGATTTCAAAGCAAATTAAAATTGTAAGAAAAAACTAAATATTTTGAAAGCGATAAAGGACAATAATATATTTTTAATAACTTATTTTATGAAAAAAATTAAATATTGTCTGAGAGTACCATAAAAGATACAGACGCGTCCGTCGATTGTACCTTTTAAAAATATAATTTTACAAAAAACAGAACATGCTTGAAAAACAAAAAAAATAAATATCATAATATCTCTTTAAAAACTTTTAATCATATGTTCATATCTCAACATACGCGATGCTTAAATCTAAAATCTTAAAGAATAATAACAATATTTTTAAACATTGATATCATTTAATTTAAATACATCTATTTTTTTAAATAACATATATATCTATTTTATTACACTTTGATGTTATTTTCGTAAATAGTTAGCAAGTGTCAATTTTCTCAATAAATTTAGGTAGGGTGTTACTTTTTTCCAGTGAAAAATTAGTGAAAAATACATATACTTTTTTCAAAGAATTTTTTATTAAAAATTATAGAACATGACATGTATCATTTAACAGAGAATTTTAATTATAATTAATATCTAAACACTTAAAATAATAACGGATAAAACTTTAAACATATATTTTTAACGAAAAATGACCCAATATAATTATTACACTACTTTCGCATTAAGCCTAAAAAAAAGCCAAAATCAAGTCAAGGTCAGCTCCATTTGCCGATGAGATTAACACCACAAATACCAACCAAGTCCAAAGTTGCTCCTCCCCAACTCCTTTGATGCTGTCTGAGTCCACCATGGGAGATCCTCCACGTTTTCTCTCAAGTTTCTTCGGTGTGTTTAAGAAAGGAAAAAGTAATGGAAAAAAGCAGACTAGATTCCAAAATCCAGTGGCTCTTCCTGAAGAAATACACCACCAATTTTCTTTACCCCAGATCAAGGCTGCAACTAACAATTTTCACCGAGATCTGATTCTCGGTGAAGGTGGTTTTGGAACTGTGTACAAAGGGTTTTTCAATGACGGGAAGTCGGCTGTCGTCAAACGAGGGAAACTGGAATCAGAACCAGGTGCAAGTTATAAAGAGTTCCGAACTGAACTGCTGATGCTCTGCCAGCTGCGCCACCAACATCTGGTACCTCTTATAGGGTTCTGCTTTGAGATGGGCGAGATGATCCTCGTGTACGAATACATGGGAGATATGAGAAACGGAACACTGCCCGATCGTCTTTATGGTTCTGGATATGATCCTCTTCCATGGAAGCAGAGGCTGGAGATATGCATCGGAGCAGCTCGCGGATTGCATTACCTTCACACTGGAGCAAAGCGAGCCATAGTTCACGGTAACGTTAAGAGCGGAAACATTCTTTTGGATAAAAAATGGGGTTGCAAGCTTTCCGATTTCCGGACTTCCAAACTGCGTCCCCGTCGCAGTTGCAAGCCGAAAGCTTCGGAAAGAATAGATCCATTAGTGCAGAGTAATTTAGCGTATTTGGATCCCGAGTATTTAGAAACAGCGCAACTGGAGGAAAAATGCGACGTGTACTCATTTGGGGTTGTTTTGTTTGAAGTTTTGTGTGCTAGAAGGCCATTTGTGGAGCATGATGGGGAGATGAAGACGACGACTCTAGTTGATTTGGCATGTAAGTCGATTAAAGGAGGAACCATTTATGATATGATTGATCCATATTTGAAGGGGAGGATTGCACCGGAGTGCTTCAAGTTGTTCGTGGACATCGCCGGTTCCTGTACTCGTGTGGTTGGAGATTAACGGCCGGAGATGGGTGAAGTGGAGGTGATGCTGGAACGCGCTTTGGAACTGCAACAGAAAGCAGATTCCGATCCGGTGCATATGACTAACTAATAAAAATAGATGTTAAAATAGTTATACTAAAAAATAAAAGGGTTAATTTCTAAATTTTTCTATAATAAGGAACCAAAATCTTAATTTATCTTCTATTAAAATTCGTACTTGAATTAGTTATATGGGTGGTTAATCAGGTGTAAAATACTATAAATGCATTTAAAATATCAAATTTAGACACGAATATGGATGCTTAATGAGTTGAGCAACTCTCGTATTTGATTTTGTCAAAACTCGATCAATATTCGACTCGGGGTCAATTGACTCGATAAATTCACGAGTAATTCGTTAAATTTTTTATAATATTTTAGTAGTTACCGTAAAAAATTATTTCATTAAAAAAAGTCTAAATAACAATTACAAATTTATTAATATATAATAAAAAATAGTAAATTAATAATTAATATTAATCTACTAATCTATTAATTTTCTAATAAACAACAAGAAAAATATTAAATTATTAATTATTAATTTTCTACACCCAAATACTAAATTATTAACTATTAAATATTATTAAATTATTCACGATCAATGAGTCAAGCAATGAGTTGAGTTGAACAACAACATTTTTTAACGAAACAAGAGCTGACAAAATTTTAACAAGATTAACAAACGAGTCGGATACTAAATTTTTTAACAAACACAAATCGAGCAATGTTTGACTTACGATCAAATCGTTCAATAAACACCTTAGACATGAATTTTGATTTAATTTGTAATTTTACACATGAAAAATTAATTTTAATTCAATGATACACATTTAAAGAAATAAATATATCAATTTATTTTCGTATTAAATAAATATAATCAATTGTATATGTTACATATAAATGTTAAATGGTGTTCAGTTAACGAACCTATTGTTAGTAATTTGTCGAAGTTAAATTAAAATTATATCCTTAAAATTAAAGAAAATCAACACTTCACATCTCATAAAAGTTCACATATAACAATTTATTATGTTTTCATATTTTAAAATGCTTTACGTGATCTTTAAATAAAAGAACTAAAATCAGTATTTAAAGAGTTAACACAAGATACGGAGAAAGCTTAATTCGATTGGTATAGTATCCACCTCTAAATTACTAGTGTGTTTTAATGTGTAATTAAAAATATTAGATACCTAATTATATTTGTACTAAATTACATTTAATACCATATTAAAAAGACGATTAAAAAGATACTAATACTAATAACTAAATCTCAAACGCAAAGCAAATCCATGACAATAGATGACCAACATCACCTAAGCAAACACAATAATCTAATTACGATATATGATTAACATTTTTTTCCAATCACTTGAAAGATCATCCAATTTTCAGCAATCGCATAATTTAAGCACAATACATAATTAATTCATCATAAAGAATGGAGAAACACCCGCTTACCCTACTTTAATTATACTCCTCAGGGCTCAGGTGTTTAAGAGAGGATTGGATCATCCACATCATGAGGATGGTCAAGAGCCATTACGTGATTCTTGAATGAGGACGCAGCTTCTTCCCTCTGTTCTAGTTGCCCCAGCTTGTCATATACAATGGCCATCAAGTAGAAAGCTTCAGCCATTAATTCATGATACTGAGGATCAAAACAAGTTCCATCCCATTAATAACAATGCCAATATTTGCTATGAGAACAAAAGTAAGCAAACTTGATGATTTGCTGCTATTCTACCCATAATTGGATCATATGAATACACTTAAAATTCAATGAAATGCATATGTTCTTGTTTCATTTGAATCTAGTTCCAAAATGAATTCGCCCGAGAAAGAGAATCTAGCCATTCCATATCAAAAGTTCACTAACCTCCAAAGCTTGCAGCTCATCTGCAGCTTGCCTCAAGGGATCTAGTACAAGCTCTGGATTGTCGGAAACTGATAAGGAAACTCAACAAGTTAGTGCAGTGTGAGCAAGTATATAACATTTCCAATTCAAACAAGCTTAACAAAAAGAGGATACAAAGCGATACAGAATGGAGGAAAAAGAAAAAAACTGTAGGTCAATTTCATCCGATCCTAAAAGTTGGTGTCTTCTACAAAAAAAAAAAGAACTCCGTACTTTGAAATGATAATTGTTTATTTGTTGAAATATTGATCAGATGAACTACATTTAGTGATTTGTAGCATCCTTTCATATATAAAAAAGTTACTTTTGACTATTTCAAAGTCTGTTCTGAAAGAATATGAACTAAAACACTTCTAACAATATGTTTGCAGCTCAATTCAGAATGGCCTATTAATATACCTGCCACTGACTAATACCATCTGACCAGGAGCAGTAAACCAGTGCCTTTGACAAGACTTCTCACTTTATGTACCACCCTAAACCATACAAGGTAGTTGGAAAAATGACTGGTTTAATAATCCATCTTATCGGGACATCTAATTACATCATGTTTGACTATTCAGCTCTTTGTAAGCGTATCTTTAATAAAAGTTGAAGAAACAACCTGATTCTCACAGCCTTTACCATCATCCTTTTCATTGTTAAAACTTAAACCAGACAAATCAAAACCATTTTATTTCCTTCTCATAATTTCAAATTCAATTGAATAATCCTTATTTTGTTACTGCATTTCTTAGGTGCATCTTCTATAATGATCAAAAAGCAATTATTCCACACATCTACAACACTCAACGCTAATCAAATTAATTTAAATTACCAAAAGTGAGAAGTCAACTCATACAGGAATTGGTGAAAAGTAAACAAGCCAAATACTTTTCAATATAACAAGCCATGAACTGAAGATAAACTTGTCCTACATCTCAATCTCTTGATATGGAAGAAGAGGGAGGGAAAAAAGTATATCAAACTTGCTCTGCTTAAAAAAAAAGGTATAAATGCCATGACGGGGATGATAAAAATAATACCTGAGAAACTTGGATCAGAGAGATAACATTTTGCTTCTGTAATATAGGCCCGAGCACAGAGTTCCAAACCTCCATGGCCAAGAATCATTGGAAAAGCACCATGTAACAGTGTTAAAGCAGTCTTTGTATGATTGGATCCAAGTGAAAGCCATAACTCAGCCAGTGTAAGAGTTGCTGATGCTCTAAGAAGATCCAAGTTAAATGACTGACAATACGAAAGGCTTGCTAATGCATAGGGAAGGCCTGCGACAGCATTTCCTGATTTCTAGTGACACCAAATAAAGAAAATTTAAACAATTCAACGCTTTGACGTTTAGTCTACAATACAATAATCCATTTTTTCTTCCCCAAGGTACTCATCATGGACACATATAGCAGAGATAAGGATCGTATAAAATAATCTGTTGGTTTCTAGGGAAAGAAATGCTTGTAGAAGGTAGGGATAGTATGAACACAAAATGATGGATACCTACGCTGGAAGAAAGGAAGGCCAAATAATCAAAATGAATGTGACACAAAGAGATGCCTTAAAAGTATGGTGTTCAATTTCTCCTTGGTTTATATAGTACAATAAAGGGATACTAGCTATACTCCATCTCAAATTGCATGTCTAACTATCACATGCATGATCATACCATGTGAATTTCAGCAAGCAGAAGAAGAACAGTCGCACTTTCAACTTGAAGATTGAATTTGTAACACATGCAAAAAAGGGAGTGCGCCACCGCAGCTGCCTGCACCGATAATTGATAATAGAAGGAAATCCAGAAACAGGCAGAATATATTGGTCAGTATTAGAAATTAAGGACCCGAAAAATGGCTGTGAAATTTAATAACACTAAAATCAGAAAAATCAATCAATTATTATTGTTCACTATGAATAGCATTTGGTATTCTCTACCTTTGCTGACACCTAAGTTGTCAAACTCTCGATAAATACTCAATAAAATCTCAAATCACTTCCGTTCGATATTTTCCTGAGTCCAGTTTTATTAACTCACAGGTTTCTGAATGTTGCATGATTTTAAATATACATAACAATGAAATTTTTCGCGAGGACTAATATGCATCAGAAAGCCCATGCCCTGGGATTTGCTTCTGTTTGCATTCCTTTACAAACTTATAGTTACTTTTAATCAAAGAATGACCAGATTGCATTATAATATATACTTCTATTTTGAAAATAGAGCAACTTAGCTCCACACAAGAATGTTATATGCATATCAAGCACAAACCTGTCTAAATTGCTTTGCTGCAAGCAATGTACGAGAATGGCGAAGGCTTGCCTCTGTCTTCAGCTCCAAGTCGACAGCAGTGACAGATGATGCCAAAACTCCAAGCTCATCACATGCTTGTTGGGCAAGCTTGAGATGTCCTCTAGTATCATTTTAAAATGAAAGCAATAGAAAACTTGCAATAAATATGGGGAAAATGCTGCATATATAAATTTTACTATGCAACCTTACCGATGTAATGCATGCTCATGGAGCAGCTGTAACTTCAGTATCAATATCCGTGATTTGGATGCACATAAAAACTTCTCTTCCGCAATTTTAAGAGCAGCAAAAGCCTCTAGAAGCGTATAGAAATACTAAGTAAATATAAAAATTAAATATATAAATAATGTGAAAATAAATGCAGTGACAACAACAGAAGGTGCACATGGTTGTTATCAAGAACTTCTATAGAAGTACGAGCATTTCAACAAAATCGGAATAATCAGATAGATTAATTCACTTTTATCAAAAACAAAGATAGATCAATTCACTTCGTTCTCTCTATCCATTTGACACTCATGATTATGTCTCGTTGACACGATGAACGCGAGACAAACATATCTGGATAGCATATCCATGTACTCTGCCTAAAGTGAATATTATTTAAAACCAGATATTTAACTAATATTTCAAGTTGCAAATATTAAGTAGGGAGCAAGTCACAAATATCCAGTAAAATTGGAACCACATATACACAATCATCAATTTAAAAAAAAAGCAAAACGCCGAGTAGGGAAAACAAATGCAGGAATGTAATGCAAATGGTAAAGCATTCAAACATTTTCTCTGACCTTTGTAGCCTTTAAAAACTGCCAGATGTTGAATAAGCTTCACATGCACTAATGCTGCATCAGATGAACTGT